AGTCAATGCACTGAAAAAATCATCACTGAATGCTGGTTCGTATGCGTAGGTAATGTGGTAGTCATAGCAACCATCGAGATAAATGTTATTTCCCATGAAGTGAGTCATCATCATGTTCATAGCAGCTCCCTGAGTATAGTGAAAAAGTCACGTGATTTCATTGGCGACGATGACGTAATAATGCGCGAGCGATACATTAGTGTATACATCCTACCATGATAACGTGTGGTTCAAGAATCACGAACATGAAGCTCGAATTATTTAGATACAACGACTTTAAGGATACATGTTCGAGAAAGAAGTGCACACATAACTACATACACACCTTTTCGTACGACATTCTGTCAAATGTCCTCCTGATTTCATGGTTCCAACCAACATCTAAGATCATTGGTCGGGATGACGTGGATATGGAATCAGAATGGAGTGCCTTGAAAGTGGCATCTCTGGGATAAAACTGATCGTACTGCATTGGGAATAAATGTAAAAGATTATTTTTTAAAACTCCCATTCGGGCGAATGTTAATTGGTCTCAATGCTAGGCCTGGTGTTGGTAATTAGTCAGTTTATGGATGGTTTTGCTCTACTGTAAACCTTCCACACGTGATCATCATTAAAAACGATAAGATCAGTTATTTTGGCAACTACACCTGAAATATTTGAGAACTAAATCTAACTTGCACTGTGGTGTCCAATTGCAAAATCAAATATAATTTTCAATGTTGTAATTACTCAAGCCACTTTACTTTGTTTTAGAATACGCTCAGCTTCTAAATTGGATTCCTGGATCATTCTGATATTTCCCGTAAACCCATGATGACTGTATTGGTCAGTGAGAGTTTTTTTTCAGGTCATACAAAGTGGCAATGTAACTTTACTAAGTTACGTTACTGTAAAAAATCAGAAACGGTAGGGACATACAGCGATTCACATGAGCCTCACACTTACCATCTCCCATTCCGGGTAAATGTTATGTACTCCGGCGTCTTCCATATATCTGGCGAACCCTTCGTTTAACCATAGATCTGACCACCATCCACATGTAACCAAGTTTCCAAACCACTGAGGAAGAATAAAATGTTAGCATATTCGTAATGGTCGCCAAGATCTCGTAGAAATCGAGAGAGCAACGAGACTTCACTTTTTCAGAGGTCAAAACAAACGAACAGGCGTGAGTACTTTGACATTTTATTTCTTTTTAAACCAGTGAATGTGGTCTACGATCGCCAGCCTATGTTTAATTTACACACGGCACTCAAGCACGCTCATCCTGACAGATCCGAACTTTTCATCAATCTGGCGGCAGAGTGAACTTTTCAATCGCGTTCCCATGTTATATAACACATTATACAGTACATTAGACAAAGCAGTGACAGTGTGTAATGCGAAAATAAATAAATAAATAAATAAATAAATAAATAAATAAATAAATAAATAAATAAATAA